GCTTGGTGCCTGTAGCTAGGCGACTAGGGTGCCAGCCACATACACGGGTGCTGGCAGGTTTAAACTTGGGTTCAAACCCAGAACGGGCCTGCCAAACAACAAGGACAACATCAACTCAAAAATAGCCAGGTATTGTGGTGGGCGCCTGTAGTCCCAGCTGCTTGGGAGGCTAAGGCAAGAGAATTGCTTAAGCCCAAGAGTTTGAGGTTGCTGTGAGTTGTGAGGCCATAGCACTCAATAGAGGGTGACATAGTGAGACTCTGTCTCAAACAAACAAACAAACAAAGCTGTACTGTTACTATGTACAATGGAAATATCCTTTCCAAGGGTGATTCCTAGAGTTGGGTCCCAGGAGTCAGGTATCTGTTCTGATCACCATTTAGTTTCTAGAGACAACTCAACCTCAAGCCGTGGACCCTGTCAGATGTTCAGCTTTCTGGCCACACAACATTCTGTCAGATTACCATGCAGGCTGGTATTGCTGCCACTGCTCAAACCTCGATGCCAGATGTTGGGCCAGCAGGCTTGATCCAGACCGCAATTGTAACTGCAGCTGAGTGTTATTAACTCCACAATATTGAGCTATTCAAGTTAAATATCCCTAAAATTATTTCGTGAAGCTGGGGCATAATGACTAAAGAAAAAGTAATGAGAATGAATTTTCGTGTGGACCTGCTACACATTTGAGTCCCAGGAGGCACTCAGGGTGGGGCATGGGCTGGTTTTGTAGGTATGTGGATGTGTTATGTGGGTTCGTGTAAAATGAAACGAGAGCAGAGACACCACGGAAGGGAACACTCTGACCCGTACACATGGCTCACCTCGCTGGTGGGGACAAGACTGGTGTCGTGGAAGGAATGGGGAAGGAAGAGCAAGTGAAAAGGACAAGCAAATAGTGTTGAATGAGAAACACAATTAACACAGCATACAAATAGTATGCGTTTATGTGAAATAATACGTGTTTACGCATAGAGGTGTTAAATAAAAAAACAGATTTTGAAATGAGGGAACCCTCCTTACCTACCATGGTAATCAACTATGATAAAGATAAACAGTGCTCTGGGCACTGGGTGTCTGAGCAGCCCAAAGTCCGACTCCTGGGGCTGCTCCCACAGGAGTAGCCTGATAGCCTACACATATATTTTTCCTTGGAAAAGTAGTGTTTTCTCTTTAATAATTTCCTCATTTCCTCCCTCAGCTCCTACTCCTAAGAAACAGTACCCCTTTGGGTACCTACACTCCTTGTGTAGGGCGAGCAGGGAGTGGAAGCTCTGGGATGGAAGGTGGGCTGGGAGCCTAGACCCTGTGCTGGGGTGGGGACACTAAGATGGATTTTGAAAGCTTTAGACCAAATGGGATGGGGGCCCGGAGAGACTCAGAGCAGGAAAGGAATTCCTCTTGAGGATCTTATCAAAGGTCTATACCACTGAAGATGTGCAGGTCTCGTCTCTCCCACCTGATGACTCTGTGCTAGTGGGGCAGGCGTGTAAAACCTGCTTGTTCACTTAAGAGGAGGCTAAGAGTTAGGGAGGCAGGGGAACCAGACTGCTGGGTTCAAAGATCAGATTTGTCCATCACGGGTTCTATGTGACCTTGGGCAAATGACCTCTTCCTACCTCATAGGGTGGCATTTACAATAGTTCTTGGTGCACAGATAGCACCAGACAACTTTTAGTTATCATTATTAGTACTGAACCACAGATTGTTTCGATGAATAAATGAGACTGCATTATAAATCACAAAGCACTGAACAAATTCTGACCTGGTACCAATAATGCTTGAAACACAGTGAATTTTAGAAAGAAGAAAAATACCCCATTTTTGCTTTTTCATAAAAGAATAATCTTCCCCTTTTAAATTGGACCAAGAAAATCCCTGTACACAGATGTTCTTGAATTCAATTTTTCAAAGGTGGTTCAATGGAAGTGTCCTCACTTTGGCACTGCTGGGTCCTGCTGGCCCACATCTGACACAGAAAATACAATGATGCCTTCATCACGGTAGGGATGGTCTCGATTCAATGGGGCATGAGGACAGGATAGGGGTAGCTGGGGGTCTGGGGAGCTGGCTGCACCTCAGCCTCCCAACATCTTCTTTTATGTCTGATATCTCCCCTCTGCTCCCCACATCCCAATGTTCTCTGAATTCACCCCCCATTCATGGAAAGGGGGATTGCTACTGTTTCTGGGATCCAGGCCAGCGCTTCGCACAGCTGGCTCACAGAGGCTTATGCTGGTACATAAACCAGGAAGAATTTTTGACTCTTTAACTCTTGAATCTTTAAGAGGCTCTGAAGTTGGGTCTGAAGCACTGCCTCCCTCTCTCCCTAGATATTTTCACAACAGACCAGAAATGCTTAGTGGATTTAGTTCTTATGAAGTGCACGAGATGAAAGATGGAGACACACAAGGAAATGAGCCTGTTAGAGGTTGGATTGTGTCCAACAGAAAGGACCCCTTGAAGTCCCACCCCCTGCTCCCTGTGGACATGACCTCATTTGGTGAAACAGGGTCTTTGAAAATGTAATCAGGACACGATGAGGTCATTAGGGTGGGCTCTAATCCAACCTGACTGCCTTCCTTATAAAAGGAAAAGACAGACAGGGCAGGTGGCCAGAGGTGAAGACGGAGGGAAGCAGCTGCAAGCCTGGGAGGCCAAGGATGGACAGCCACCGTCAGAAGCTAGGGAGAGACAAGGGAGGAGGCCACCTCAGGTCTCAGAGCAACCCGGCCCTGCTGACACCTTCATTTCAGACTTCCAGCCTCTAGAAACTGAGTGAGAATAAATTTCTGTTATTTTAAGCCACCCATTTATAGTGTTTTCTTACGGTGGCCACAGGAAACTTTATTTTTTCTTTTTGCAGTTTTTGGCCAGGGCTGGGTTTGAACCTGCCACCTCTGGCATATGGGGCTGGTGCCCCATATCCTTTGAGCCACAGGTGCTGCCCCACAGGAAACTTTTTTATTTTATTTTACTTTATTTTTTAATTTAATTAATTAATTAATTAGAGACAGAGTCTCTCTCTGTCACCCCAGGTAGAGTGAGTGCTTGGTGTCATCATAATTCACAGCAAATTCAAACTCTTGGGCTCAAGTAACCCTTCTGCCTCAGATTCCTGAGTAGCTGGGACTACAGGTGTCCACCAAAACACCCAGCTAATTTTTTCTATATTTTAGCAGAGACTGGATCTTGTGCGTGCTCAGGCTGGTATCGAACTCCTGAGCTCCAGGCATCAAGGCATCCACCCGCCTCGGCCTCCCAGAGTGCTAGGATTACAGGCGTGAGCCACCCACCCAGCCCACAGGAAGCTAGTTTAGCCTTTCAGTGCAGGCACACAGCCTCTCCCCTCTGGGCGGTCTCAGGCCTGAGGGCCAGGCTGGGCTAGCACAGACAGAGGTCATAGGGGCGCCTGTGGGAGGAAACGAATCAGAGTAAAGGGCAGGGCAGGTGACATGGTTAAATGATCATCTCACAGCCCAGGAACATTCTTTTAAGTCATTAAGGCATCCTCTGTGCAGCATTCCCAGTCTGGCACCTGAACCAGGTGAGCCCTGGCGGGACACAGACAATCGGGAGGCTGGGTGTGGAATCTGACTGCCTAAGAATCTCCTGGAGAATGTTCAGGAAAACACGGTGCTCTCCCTTCAAGTCTCAGGCCAAGGAACCTGGATTTTTAAAAGTTCCCAGATGATTCTGAGGTGTAGCCTGAATTTATTTTATTTTATTTTATTTTATTTTTTGAGACAGAGTCTCACTAGGTCACTCTTGGAAGAGTGCTGTGGCATCACAGCTCACAGCAACCTCAAACTCTTGGGCTTAAGCAATTCTCTTGCCTCAGTCTCCTGAGTAGCTGGGACTATAGGTGCCCACCACAATGCCTGGGTATATTTTTGTTGCAGTTGTCATTATTGTTTAGCTAGCCCGGGCTAGATTCAAACCCGCCAGCCTTGGTGTATGAGGCTGGCACTATAACCACTGTGCTACAGGCACTGAGCCCTGAATTTAGTTTATGATTTCATTTTAGATATGGGGAAACTGAGGCTTGGAGACACTCAGTGGCCCAGGCTCTAAAAGTTGGCTCAAGAAGCAGCATTGCAAAGGAGTCAAGAATATGCTTGTTCTCCAAGAAGACAGGAGTCAAATACACCTGGGGGTATATGTTGGGCCCTTGGTGGCCTAGGGGAAGGTACTTCTTAAGGGAATAACAACAATCCCTACAGCATACAACTGTGAGAACCAGGTGAGCAGAGGTACCGAAAGCTTAGCCTCTGGCCCCTAGAGCAGCGCCGGGATATCTCCTGGTAGCAGCAAAAGCAGCGGTGGCCACATTGAAAGTAAAGAGCCTAGGCTAGGTGCCTCTGGGTCCAGTGTCCCTCTCAGGACATTGTTCTCCTGCTCTGGGTTTGAACAACCCTTACCGCAACATCTAGCATAACTCCAGTCTCAAAATTGAGTTTGAGTAGAGGATCGTAAACTGAGACAAGGACATGACCGTGCTGGACATATCTCTATCCAGAGCCCTATCGGCATATTTCTGAGCCAAATTTTTTAGCTTATAGTAATAGTTTGGGCTCCATGGTAAAAACGGTTCCTTTCCAGCCTTATGAGGGCCTTCCACTAAAGATGTTTAAGGGGTCCCTACCACGACCAGTTGCCACCTGGACTGCATGTCACACAGTGAGGAGGGGCTGTCCCTGGTGTGATGAAGCCAGCTCCAGGTTGGAACTGAGGCCTCCTAGGCAGGCTGTATTCGACTCACCTGGAGCATAGATCAAGCTTTGCCCTGCGAAGACACTGGCATTTGATGTATTTCCAAAATGATTTTGTTCACAGCTAATTTGTCTTCAGATTTTTGTACTAGTCATGTTTTGAGCAAGAATGCTGTCACCTTTAGGAAGACGCCTTTTAAATGTGAAGATCATTTTAATCATTAGAAAACAAGGGCAAGCAAAGATGTTGCTATGTGCTAGCGCTCAGGAAGGTAGAGATTGTATACACACCGTTTAATTTTCTGACAGATCTTGGTCAAAAATGGGAGTGAACAAATGCCAGAACCACTTCTAGAATATTTCTGAAGAGAAAAAAAGAAAGACAATAAAAAGAATTGTTTAATTTAAGGAATGGTTCCCACCTTCTAAGGGCCCCCCATAGCCTAGATGTCTGAGCCCTTCTCCCGCTACAATGCAGTCCTGTTTTCCTGACCTAAATTCACCTCTTGTACCTGTCCCCAGCTCCGTTCCATCCCATACTCATCCCACCTCCTGAGCCCTTGATCACGCAGCTGGCCCCTCGGCTGGGAGCCAGCCCACCCTTCACCCACCAGCTCCTCCCACCTTCCAGGCCACCCTCACCCTCCATCTCCCCCAACAGGGTCAGGCCCACCTTGGTCAGTTCGTGTCTGTCAACAATATTCCTCTACACAAGAGCTTTGAAAGTAGAAAACAATTTCAAGTAAAATAATCCCATCTTATGATGGAAATAAAGACTAAAGAGAAGGGAAGGCCCTGCTCAGGGGAGCACAGAGTGTGCAGCTCCATGAGCCCTGGAATTTTAGACAGCAGTTTCCACAAAATTCTAAATGTAAGATATATTAAAAGCTCTGGATTTTTACTAAGCTGTGCTTTTAGAAAGATTGTGGTTTCCGTGATGCTTCCCCAAATGAAAAAAAAAAGAAAGAAAGAAAAGATAACAGGGTAGGAACAGTTAGGAACCAGCATTTATCAACAAAGGGAGAGAGAGAATAGATTCCCCTATGCCCTGGGAGTCCTTTTGATGGCTTCGTGGTATATTATGGGTGTTGTAGGTATTTTGACCCAGCAAAGGCTAACCGGCAACCTTTTCAGAATACAAATGAAATACTTAAGGATCTTAGAGGTACCTGCCCGGCTTTCTAGGAGAAGAACAATCTTATCCAACACCCCTGTCTATGTGAGATGGACAGACAAGAGGCTGTCCTTGTCCTCAGCTCACCATGGATCCAGGGCATGGGTGGATGTCCCAGCTCTGGGCACACCCTGTGGAGTGTGCAGTGGTTGAGGCATTAGCAGGGCTCCCTAGGAACCCAGGAGAGGATGCAGATGACTCAGAAGTCAAGTCGGATGGAGGAAGGTGGGAAGAAAGAAACAGATGCCCCGAGGCTTTGTGCCTCAAAGTGCAGTCCACAGCCTTGCTACAGGTAAAATTTCTTACCATCCCAGCCCCAGATCTGCTGAATTGAAAACTCTGGGTGGGTCTTGGCAATCTTCCTTCTTAGCACCTCCCCACCCCAAGTCATTTTAGCGCCCATTAACACTTGAGAACCACTGCTCTGGCCACTCAAGATATGGTCACAAAATCTCAGGTCCTCCCAGAGACCTACAGAATCAGAATGTGCATCTCATTATGACAAGGTACCAGGTCCACACTGAAGCTGAGAAGCTTGGCTCCAGGCAGAGGGAGCACCCCAAGCGGTGTGTGGAAGTATGAGAGAGTTTGGTGTCTTAGGGGAATGTCAAACGCTTCTGCCTGGCTGGAACAGGGAAAACCACAGGGTACAGTGACCCATGGAGGGAAGGAGACATTAGGGCAAGCCTGGGATGCAGCACTACAGGTCACCCTGAGGACTGTGGGCAAATCTTGAAGGTTTCAGGCAGAGGAATCACGTTCCTATTTCAGAAACTATCAATAGTGGTGGGGTGATGGCTGGGAGGAGGTGAGATGGGGCAGAGAGGCCCACCAGAGGTAAGGGACCCTGAGGCCTGATTCTAGAGTTTGGAACCTCATCTCTATTGTATTTGGGGCCTATAATAATCCCACCTTTGTTGTGTGTCTGTCCTGTGTGTTTTGAGACGCTCCGAAGCATCTCCAGCCACTGGGCACCAGATGTACAAATCTGTCTGCAGACACTGCCAAGCCCAGGGTGGGGTGAGGGGCAAAAGTGCCACTGGTTGGGAGCCCCTGATAGAAAATTGGGGGTGGGGGAGGGAACAGTGGTGCAAAGGAGGGGTATTTAGAAGGTTGAATCCAGAGAATAAGTGTCTTATTAAGATCAAGATTACAGCCACACTGTAAAACAAACACCAGCATGACAACAACATTTGTCGCACTTTAGAAATATAAACACATCCTGAGACCTGGAGTTCAAAATCAGGCTGCATTTGAATGTTTGAGCTACTTTATTTAATATTTACTTTAGTCTAAAGGCCTTGGTCTAATTAGCCTGACAACGATATAGATTCATAACACTGATGATAACCAATATTTTTAAAAATTTATATGGACAGGCTTATAATTATTACACAAAAGGTACAATAAAATAAAATTTTATAATGGCAGAGCTGTTCACTGTCAAAATTCAGCTGGACAGCTGCAGCTGCCTTTAACACTCATTGTACAGAAATTGGGGTTAAGAAGTGGGTGACGAATGATGTAGCTTACCCAGAGACTCCCCAGAACTCCTCCTGTGTAGATGGAGGTTTTCATTATTTGTTCTTTTTATCACATAGTGAGGGAAAGACCATCAACCTCTTCTAATTTGCTTGCAAAGAGAACTGAGGCGGACCCAGAGCAGCATTGCAGTGAACAGTCCCTGCTTATGTGTTTGCCAGCCCCTTCCTTTCCATCGGAAGTTGGCTAGATAGAGACCAAATGTGGGCTGTTATTAACACAGCAATGGACTTGAAATATTACATCTGGCTACATCTAATCCTGCCTAAAATGAAAGTTTCCAATCGGGGCTGTCCCTTGGGACAGGAGCTATGCAGCATCTTCCTTTTGCAATCTATTTAGCCAGCCTCCTGAGTCTCTCCAAATACCAGGATATTAACTGAATGCAGAACAACAAACAAGGGATGAATAAAGAAAAACAGGGTGAACGGGTTAAACGGAAGGTCACGGAGGGAGAGTAATCACTCTTCTGCTGCACACCACCAGGACAAAATTGAATTTCTGCATGGTGAAGTACTTTTCAACCCTCATTGTGTTTATAATACCTAGACTTAACTATTTCTGGGGTAGGACATGGGTGTTAGCAATTTTAAAGGCTTCTCAGATGATTCTGTTGAGCAGGTGAGTTTGTGATCAGGGCTGTCATGTACAGCTGTACAGGTTGTCCACTGTACAATTCCAATAACCACATTGCCTGTGATATGAATGGTGCTCTCTGAAGTTTAGCCCTGTTGGGGATTTGTTGAGAGCTCCTGGCATAGTAGGAAAAAGTATTGAACTTGGGAATAGTTGGTGCTGGATTCAAATGATGGGTTTCTCACTTATTGTGGAGTGAGCAGATTACATAACCTTCCTGAGACTCAGTCTCTCATCTGTAAAATGGAGTTAATAGCAAAAATACTCTATGTAGTTTGTAGAGGTGAGAATTAAATAAGATGATTCCATAGCTCAGGCCCTCTAAAATGTTCCATGCTCCACTAGTCCACGAAAAGTTCTCCTGAAGAGCCTCTCAGGGCCTTGTTGAGATCCAGACTTTCTTTGGGATATTTGATTTCCTTCCATAATGCATATCTTCTCCTGTCTGCATTCTCTCAACAGGCTGAGTGCCCAACCTACTGTGTGATGCTTTCTGTGTCCTGCTAGGTCTGCAGTTAGATCAGCCATCGCAGCACAACCAATAGCAGTCTATTCCCTTTGAACAGTTTTTCAGAGACATTTATTTGCATTTTTTGATTATTTTTTCCCTTGAGAGCTTTAATCCTAAGAGTAAATAAATTGGTGGAGGAGATTTCTGAGTTTTCTTATTGTTGAATTGTTCAGGAGATTTTTTTTTTTTTTTGGCTTCTCGCAAGTCATTATTGGAATTCTGCCCCATGAATTATGCTTTCAATTCTGGTGACAGAAATGAAAAACTGTAAGATCCTAATTAGTCTTTGAGTTCCTGCCAAGACAGTTTGTGTTAGTGAAGTAAACAATGCCTCGAGAATAAGTTTTTAGATGTGTGTTGAGAAGGATAAAAGATGAATTATATTACTCTCCATTTCCGCTCAGAGTTCTGAAGATGGTGGTCAAGGGTTTCCAACATCTCATTCAACAGACCCAAGCAAATTAGCTAAACTAGATTCTGTTGACCTGTAATTATTCACTGCATTAAATAATGATTGACAATGTAGGCATTGTGATTGATTAATCAATTATGTAGAAATGCTTGCATATTGTCATTTAGCATATAGCACATCAAAACCCATATGCCCCCACAGGTAGGGCTGCCAGATAAAATATTGCATTAGCCGTCCTTATACGAAAACATTACTCATTGTTTATCTGAAATTCGAATTGAACTGGGCATCCTATATTTTTACTTGCTAAATCTGGCTAGGCTGGCCATGAAGGATTTCCTTCCCTTTATTTCCATGTTGCCAAATCAATAACACCTTAACTGTATTGTCTCAAGGTGAATGATGAGCTAGCCAGCAGGGAGAAACCAAGGACAAGGTCTTTGCCTTCCAGTTAATGGATGCTTCTGACTGCCGGGGTCTTTAGCATGGAGGATGCTGCTGTCTTTACAGATCTACTTTTCTGCTTCCTTTTCTATTGGGGCTCATTTGCAACCGGGCCCCAAGTTAAATGCTTAGCTTCATGAGAGCTTATTTTATAGAACATTCTATCTGTCAAATGAGTGTTATATTACAAAGAGGACAAATTAGGGGAAATGAACAGTAACTGTGATGACTGTAACTAACATTTGCCACGTACTCGGTTACTGGTCCTAGGCAAGAAACCAGGTGCTTCCCACACATCAACACTCTTAGTCCTCACATCAGAGGACACTCTTACTGTCCTTATCTGACAGACAAGAAAATCAAGGCCCAGAGAGTTGAGCGCTAGTGGAGAAGCAGGATACAGCCTCCTCCAAAATGGTCCACTAGAGCAGCGGTTCTCAACCTGTGGGTTGCGATCCCTTTGTAACAATGGAAATACATCATGGCGTTAGGAAGGTTGAGGACCACTGCCCTAGAGAGAAGCTGTCCTCAGAGGAGGGTGATTTTGTTCTCCAGGGGACCTAGGGTAATGTCAGGAGGCAATGATGGTTGTCATAACTGGGAAGGGGTGGACTGTGCTGCTCACACCTCGTAGGTAAAGGTGGCCCCACCACAAAGGATTATCCAGCCTCAAATGCCTGTAGAGTCATCAAAGTTAAGAGACAAGGCAGGGGAAAGGTAGGAAAGAGCTCGCCTTTGACCTTTGATCCCAATGCAACTATGGCACGTTGCAGGCTTGGATCTGGAGTAGCCCTCACCGCTGGGGAGGGAACACAGGGGCCACTGAGAAATGAAAGATGCCTCGGAAAGGCTACTTGCTTACCAGAGTCGGGGATTTCTTGACTATTTGTCTTGCCCTCTCTAGTGTGAATTTCCACGCCTCCTGTGAAAGCAAAATTAGACAACATTAAAGCTTGTGTCTCAGTTTTTCTTTCTAGATCTGTTCTACAGTTAGTATTTTTAAAGTCCACAAGTTTTCAATGAATAAACCCTTTCACAAATTTGTGATAAAATAATTCACAAGAAAACCATTTCATGTTAATGACTCCCTCTACTGAGGACTTTGCTCAGTCAGACGCTGTGCTAAGTACTTGATGAACATTTTCTTATTTACTCTTCACTCTGGCCTTAGAGATATGACCATTTTACCAATAAAGAGACTGAGAGGCACAAAAACTAAGAAACTGGCTCAAGACCTGACAGCGAGAGTCCCGCAGAGATGCAATCTGGACCTCTGCTTTCTGGCTGCGAGGCTCGGCTGACCTCCATAAGCAACTTGTTCTAGGAAGCTATCAACAGCGCGAGCTTGAGTGTTTCACGCTACAGCAGTGAGGAACGGCTGATCCCTGCCCTGCAGGCTAACCCCCTCTCTCAGTGCCCTGCTCTCCCCTGGTTGGAGAGCCCCTGTCCTCTTTCAACCATTTCTACAACATCTTAATGCATCTTCCAGGTACATACACATTGCAAGTATAAAGAGTTAGTTCATTATTATTAATAACAATTGCCGTGAAACTCCAAGGGCCACTGTCCTTGTGTATTTGGTACAGGGGAGGTTGGGAGAAGACTAACCCTGGGGTGGGTGGGGTATGGGCTGCTACCACTGCTTCAGGAGCTCTTGCCCCCCACCCCCACTAAATACACATGTCCTAGCCACCATGCCAGCCTGCCCTAAAATCATCTCCTTCAATAATTGATAGGTTTATTGGAAAGCTTTGTCTTTTCTACCCACTTCCTGCCCACCTAAATTAGTAGGGAAGCTGGGATTTCAAGGAGAGTGCTGTAGTTCTCAATCCAGGTCATGAAGGACACTGTCTCTGCATGTAGGCCGTAACAATGGATGCTGGAATTTTGAGATGGTTGGTCAGAAAGAGAAGGTTTTCTGGGAGATGCCAGCCAGTGCTGTTAGATGTTCAGGACTTAGGTCTGTATTTAACTCTTGCCTGTTCTTCCCCCTGGAGCTCCCTCTCTCCACTCTGGAGGTATGTGGCCATGTAAGCGGGTGTGTCCCTCTCAGGACGAGCCTGGGTTGGAGTGACTGCTCCAGGAGGTGCTCAAGAAAGGAGGGTGGCAGTGCCAGCAGAACTTGTCCTCTGGGTCTGTCCCAAATCATACTCCTCTGGCTCAAGCTCAATGAATGGCAAATTGGGGCTCGTATGTCAAAGGCAGCAGGCCAGCTGGCATAGGAGACTTGAGAGAAGATGCTCTCTATGTGGGTTCGGTTGCCAGGAGGCTCTGGCACAGAACATGTTTCTTAAAACCTTGCAAGATTTCTCCACTCTTTGGTGAATAGCTGTGTCCCTGAACCTCAAAGAATTCCCCACCACTGCTGTGGCCACACAGCCTCTTCTTAGGACTCCCCAGACCTCCCTGTGATCAGTCAACTAAGAGGTCAGTGTAATGGTCCCCTCCAATGGGCACCCAATACCTCACCCAGCATTCCCTGTGGCTGGTTGGTAGCACAGATCACAATCCTCACTTTTAAGATGTCTTTAACAAACAGACAGCTTAGGGAATGGCTCCATTTGGGGGTAAAACTGACCTCTATTAACTACACTTTTGAAGTTCGCCTATTGTATGAAGTAGTAATTTTGGCACAGTCAGTGTAACAGACACTAGATTTTGTCTTATGACGCCCTTTGGGGGTACCCTTGTTAGCCTAAAGCTCATTCCTCATACACTGCCACTTGAAGCTGCCTCGATTATGAGGCCTGGCTTCTCTGTCTTGGAAATATTCCCTGGCATTCTCAGGTCCAGTATATACATCTGCAGGGCCTGGCACAGTTCCCGATACAGAGTAGGTGCTTGATAAATATGGAAGTAAAATGGGAAAGAAAATAGTTATGATCTTGTTAGGGAAGGAAAACAGGCTGTCAGACTTTGCTCACATAGAGAAACACCTTGAAAAGGACACTCATGGCAATGGTGGGGTCTAACCTTTTCCTTTTTGTCCTTTTCTGGGTTTTCTAAATTTTATGTAATGAACATCAATTCGGCAACAAATGCTTTAAAAATGAACCCACTTCGTGTTGTCTTGTTTCTTACCGAAGAAGAAAATAATGTGCTCCCAGCACGGATATGTGCATGAGGGCCCTGGGAACCCGGCAGGGAGCAGCCCAGACACGCCTGCCCTCCCCCAGCTCCAGTCTGGCCAGGGGAGCCCTAGCAGAGAAAATAAACAGAAGCAGATGAAGCCCAGAGAGGGCTTGGCAGCCTCTTCCTGGTAGAGGCCACATGAACCAGCTCAATTCTCTGGTGCTCAATGTCAGCTGGGGAGTAATGACAAGCAAACTGTAAGAATACAACCTGGCAAGTGCCACAGCACAGGTTTGGAGCACTCTCAGTGCTGGGACCTGATGGGCTGCTTCCCTGTTCACCCGGACGGGGCTGAGTTCTTGCTGTTGGTGCCTGTGGGGGAGGCAGCAGGGAGCAGGGGCTGGGTGGCAGGGAACTGCGGCAGCCTTTGCCAAGGAGGAGAGTCAAAACATCCGAGGAGGCAGAATCCTGGTTCCAGATGGGCATTTAAATTCAGCACCCACTTCCAAATTCCAGTTACAATGACTACTAGGAAAGTCGAGATTTCTGGTGGAAATTGGGGAAGGGTAGGATCCACAAACTAGAGAATTGGAAATATTTCCCTAAGACGAGATTTGGGTAAGGCCAAATCGATGCAAAGAGGGAGCAGCCAGGGTTACGGCACATTGAGAGGCGAAGGCCGTGTGGGGATTAAGTGAAGGGATCCTGAGGTAGAATGTCCGGCACTCTCGAGGCTGGGGCAGCAGGGGCTCGGCCAGTGCAGGCAGAGTGGGTGCATATGGGGGTGCATGTTCCACCGCTGCAGAGATGTGGAGGTTTGTCCCAGGACCTGGGCCACTGCAGCCCCGGCCACCCACTCGCTGCTACCCAGGTGGTGGTGGGGATGGATTTGTCTTGCAGCTGTGTGTGTGTAGGGTACTCTACCCAAGAGTGAGGAAATGACAATTGACTTTGTCTGAAAATGAAATGAAGATTGGAGGGGAGCTCCAGAAGAAGCCACCCTTGGCTCTGCCCTGGGGCTTTGCCCCAGGCTTGAGAAGGGCCCCTGCCTGGCAGACTGGAAGCTGTTGCAATAGCATAGAAAGGGCCCTCAAAAGGCTCATGCCTTGAGGGGTGGGGGGAATGGATGGGTAAGCCAGCCACTCCAGGTTCAGGGTAGCTGTGCACAGGAGCTGGGGAGCACAGGGACAAAGGAAGACGTGTTCACATTACACTGAGGGTTGGGGAGCCTTTTCAGAGGACCTGCAGCCTGAGCCCAGCTCTTATGCAAATCTCTCATGGTCCCTAGAAAGACACGTCCTCCCTACTCAATAGCAGAATCCACTCGCTGGCTCAACTTGCCTCAGTTACACAGCTGTGGAGAAGTCTGCTCAGGAGCCAGGCTCACAGTTTTCAGTTTCCAAGCCTGGACAACATTTTCTCTTTCACAGTGTGCTTGACAATACCAAAAATGGCCTTTGAGATAGGAATCAGAAGGATTCACCCAGGAATCACCATTCTAGAAGCTCCCCGACCCCTGCTGGATAATTTCCCAGCTGCAGCACAGCTGTCTTATCCCCCAACAAACGTGAGAGTTCCTGGGGCAGAGGCTTTGGGTTCAGGGCTATAATTTTCAATCACCCATAACATCTTCAATAATATCAAGCCCAGAGCTTGTAGGCAAGAAGTACCTATTGACTTATAGTCACAAACGAAAATGATTAGAGACTGGGCAAGGGCTGTATTTTTCAAACATTTCCTCCTTCCTTTATTCAGTCAACATCACTACTTCCAAGGCAGCGGGGCGGGAACCCAAGGAGGCCCTGCAGGGACTGGAGAGCTGCATAAGAACAGCTGTTATTGTCCTTGCCTATCCTGAGCTTAACATTAAGTGGGAGAACTGCACACATGGGCATGGGTGTACATTGCACTTTGGAAAGAAAAGAAAGCTGTACCAGAAAAGGGGGCAGGCCAAGATGGCTTTAGGAAGAAGCAATCCTGTGCTGAGCCTTCAAAGGTAAGATTGCGACAGGTGGAAGTGGGTAGAGAGGGGAAGAACATGTTGGGCACAGGGAGCATTTGGGCCCCAGTGTGTTGAACAAGCCAGATGTTCTGGCTACATACATGTCTGGACAAGGGCATGATGGGCAGAGAGTGAGGGAGTGGATGTCATAACGAAAGTTTAGTCTTTATTCTATAAGTGATTCTTGGCTACAGAGAATTTTTGAGTAGGCATGTGCCAGGTTTAGTGATAAATACATGTTAAGAAAATTCAAATTCAAAAAAGATCAAAGCATCACTTTCTTTGTAGTGACTAATTCAAAATGCATTAATAGCAATATATGAAGGAGAATTGAAATAAAACTCTGCTCATTTTTCTTCTGCCCCTCCCAGAAGAAAATAGATGTCTCCATGACAAGCAAATTGCCAGCAAAAATAAAAATAATTCTTATCTCTCCTTGGTAATCTTAATTGTTGGCATTTGACTTAAATCTGCTTTTATAAAGTACGAAGGCCACTCTTCTGTATTCTGAAAAATTAAGACTTCAGGATGGAGGATGCAATTCTAATGAACAGTTGGAGGGAAAGTTGAGAATGGACTCTGAGATGATTGGAAAACTCTTCTGGTTGGAAGCCAGAATGATGTTTATGACTCAGCTCGAGCAATCATCTGAGGCATAAGACAGTTACCCGTCAACAACGAGCAGCTTGGGTCTGAGAGCATTCATTTGGTTTTGTAATTTGTTTTGGTCAAATCTTTTCAGATTCTTATTACATTTTTTCTTGGTTATCACGTCTATTTATTCCACTTTCAAATCCTTTTCAGCCTATTTATTTAATACCCTCTTGAGCAGATTGCTAAGGAAGCCG